AACCTTATCGAAAACCAGTTAAAAAATTATATCTTCTTTACCTTTATTGCTAGAGTCTCCAAATTTTTAATGTATGCTTATATGCATTTTATACAATTTCGGTTTTTGTTAAAATGTACCCCCACCTCTAAATTCACCCCCTCACCCTCACTTTCGTAAAAAGCGTATTTCAAATACTATATGTGAGTGTGTGTATGCGTTTGTGTCTGTATGCGTGTGTGTGTATGTATGCCTGTTTGTGCGTACGTGCGTGTGTGTGTGTGTGTGTGTGTGTGTGTGTTTCTTGTGTAAGCTGAAAGACGCGAAAAATTATTGAAATATCTATTGCTCCAAGGGTTCAGGGGATCTCGTAGTCGAGCAGTCTCGACTAGAGCTTTCTTACTTGTTTTAGAAATGAGTTTTGTCAAAAGACGGACAGCGCATAGTTCCAATTTGGGAATAGTTTTACGATTTTTCTTGGGATTAACTTTACTTTTACTAGCTAATATCATTACTGAATTACCTACTTTGGCATATACTACTGCTGCATAGGCGCATAGTTCAAATTTGGGAATAGTTTTACGATTTTTCTTGGGATTAACTTTACTTTTACTAGCTAATATCATTACTGAATTACCTACTTTGGCATATACTACTGCTGCATAAGCTTTTTCAGAAGCATCAGCAAAACCATGAAACTGTACTTCAATATCTTTTTGTATTTTGACCCACCTAGGTATTTTTAGGTTTGTAAATGTTTCAAATTATCTTGATACATTTTCCATTCCTTGATTTCTTCTTTGGATAGTTCTTCATCCCATTTTTTTATCAGTTAGCCATAGCTTTTGCATAAACAGTTTCCCTATTATGGTCACTGGAGATAACCACCCTACGAGATCATATATTTTAGTGTTGATAAGTGTTGATAAGACTGTTCTTTTATTTATTGCTTTAATATTGTTGTCAATGAAACTAAATTTAAATTCAACCTTGAGAGGTTCCCACTGTAGCCCTAATGTTTTTATTGACTCATTCTCTTCAATGCTTAACACCTTATTTTCCTCATTTCTGTCTATTTCTTCAATTATTTCTGGTTTATTTGAAATCCACTATCTCAGATTAAATCCTACTTTTGCTAGTTCACTGGAAACACATTCAACAATTTCTTTACAGTTCTGTATGGATTCAGCGCCTGTCATAAGATCGTCCATATACAAATCTGTTTTAATTATTTCTTTAATTGTTGCATTATCGCAATTATTAGCTATGTCTAAAAGAACTCTAGTGGCTAAGTAAGGAGCTGATGCAGTACCATAAGTGACTGTGGTAAGCTTAAAGTTCTTTAATTTTTTACTTGGAGAATCTCTCCAGACAATATATTGAAATTCCTGGTCATGTTTTGCTATTTTTATTTGCCTATACATTTGTTCTATATCTGCTGATACTACATATTCCCAGCGTCGCCATTTTAATATAATGTCAAATATATATTTTTGAACTCTTGGTCCCGTCCACATAATGCCATTTAGACTTTTCTTATTTGTGGTTTTTGCAGATGCGTCAAAAACTACCCCTAGCTTCGTTGTCAGACTACTATCTCTTAGCACTGCCTGATGTGGTAAATAATATTTTCCTTCTTTATTTGTAGATATCATATGTCCTAATTGCAAGTATTCATGAAATTTGTGTGGTCTGTTCTTAATTTTTCATTTTTTTGCAGCTTTTTCTCTAAGCTAAGAATTGGAGCTATAGCTTGTGGCTTTGATTCTCCTAATTCATTTTTTTTCTTTGAACGGAATCGTTACAACATATCGACCCTTTGAATCAATTCTTGTTGTATTTAGAAATGTTTTCTCACAATATTCTATCTCTTTGACATCTTCTTCTTCTTCGTTTTCTAACTCCCAGAACCCATCTAGGTCTTCTATTGCAATACTTGTCGCTACTATCGTTGTTTTACCTTTCGATTTTGTACAACCTGATACAATCCAAACTAATTCTGTATTTTGCCCAAGTAATGCATCAATTTTTACTATCCCATCCTTTAGTACGTGTGGATATAAGTCTGCACCTATTATTATATCTACACGACTTGGTTTATAAAATTTCGGATCAGCTAATGTGAAATTGTGCCATTGAGCTATGTCTATATTTGCTTTGCTAACTGAGAGAGCTTTCATTAACTTTGATAATATGATGGCCTCAACCCTAAGCAGTTCTTTATTTGGCTCTCTAGGTTTTATTATTAGCTCAACTTTATGTTTCGATCTACAAGTATTTTCTGATGAGACACCACTTATTTCTGTCTCATTTTTGGTTCTGGGTAAATTTAGCAACTGTGCGGCCTCATATAATTCCCCTTTATTGCTTTAACTTTAATTATCGCTGTGGCTAATATTGCCTCTTCATTTGTTACTACTGTATTAACTTTTTCTGCATTTATATGTAACATTGTATGATGAGGCTTCTTACAAAAGTAACAATTCATGTTACTTGTACATCTATTAGTATTCGTGTGTCTTAAACACCTCAAACATAACTGTATCTTTTTTGCAGTATCCAAACTTTCTCTTGGGACCATTGCCTTAAATTTCGTGCATTGCGTGGTACTATGACCTACTACTTTGCATATAGGACAATTGTAACCAGAGTGAAGTACTTTCTTTTCCTCTTTATTTAAAGCGGATAATGAACAATGTCGCTGATCTAAGTAGTCCATTACGTCAGTCAATAATTGTATTTCTTTTGTCTTTTTTATTTGGCTTTCGTATAATTGAAGTGCCTCTTTACTAAATTTCCTTAGTATTATATGCGCAAAGATTTTATCAATTTCTTCTGAAAGTTGAGTCTTACTTTTAATTATATGTATTGACTCATTGATTGTATCAATAAAATAATTAATATCAATATACAAATTTGGAAGGTCCATCATTCGGTTCAATTGTTCCGAAAAAATTTTCCTTTTATTTTCCTATCGCTTGGTAAGTAATTCCCAAGCGGTACTATAATTATCTGCGGACCCCGTTAACAAATGAGCAACCATGCTCTTTGCTTCTCCTCGTAATGAGGATTTTAAATAACTGAATTTGATAGAGGGAGTTAAATCTTTTCTTCTATCAATAAGGTCGCCAAATAATTCAGCGAATAAATCCCAATCTTTGGTATCTCCAAAAAATATTTGGACTAGAATTTTTGGTAGACCCGGAAGGTTATCCATCTTTTCTTGGAATGTGGGTCGAATTGGGGTATTTAATTTTGTTCTTTCGAATATCATATACTTCTACTAAATACAGTTTTAGCTTTTGTGAACTATAACTGCTCTAACCTGCTTCACATCTTCTTTATCTTCTTCTTTCTCAGCTCTCATCATTTCTAATTTCAAATCTTTTATGCTTTTCATTGCTTTATCAAATTCCTTATTGTTAAAGTATGCATGCTCTCCTAAAATTTCGCTCGGTGACCTAATTTCTTCAGATGAGTCTAATTTTTTCAGTCTGGACACGAAAGTCCGATTGCATTTTCAAAAGCTTAATAACTTTTTCTGACAGCATTTTTTCGTATTTATTTAAACAAATAAAATTAAACTACGACTTATCTTTATCTTATCCGCGCTGTCCTCCTGTTGATCCAGTCTTCTCTGAAGGGGGCGCCTGAAGATCTTGGTGAGATTCGTCTTCCCGTTGACCTCTGACAATTTATTGATGTAGTTTTACTATGTCTCTCTTTTGAGATGGAGAACAGAAACCCTTTGGTAGTATTCCGCCTCTCCGCACTTTGCGCGAGAGAACAGAATCACTTCGACTTTTTGTTTTTCTCTCTCCGCACTTCACGCGAGAGAACCGAACTCTTCGGATTTTTTTTATACCCTGAATGGGGGGAATTTTTAATGTATGCTTATATGCAATTTATACAATTTCGGTTTTTGTTAAAATTTACCCTCCACCCCTATATTCACCCCCTCACCCTCACATTTGTAAAAGACGTATTTCAAATACTACTTGTGCTTTGGCGAATACATGGATATCCATGTTATAATCATAATCTGAAAGTTTCATGAAGATCATATGTCCACAAAAAAAGTTATTAAGCAATTGTTCTCATAGTAAGCGCACACTGCAGCCCATGCGTGTTTATGCGTGGGTGCTTGTGTGTGTATGTGTGTGTGTGTATGCGTGTGTGTGTGTGTGTGTGTGCGTGTTTCTTGTGTAAGCTGAAAGACGCGAAAAATTATTGAAATATCTATTGCTCCACGGGTTCAGGGGATCTCGTAGTCGAGCAGTCTCGACTAGAGCTTTCTTACTTGTTATTAAGTGAGTTTTGTATTTCATTTATATTTTTAAATACATCGAAATTGAAATTTTAGCCATACTAAATGGACATTTTTATTAGTTGGGTTCAGGGTAGTATCTAGTCGAGCACTCTCGACTCGAGTTTTCTTACTTGTTTAGCAATAAATTAGTAAGAATTGCTATAGAGAATAATGAATTCAATAATAATGGCAACATGTGATGGACAATCACAAAAAGCAATGCGTTTAAATATTTTGTTGCTTTGATAACAGAAAATTTAAAATTATTCAGCATATTATTAGTAAATATTGCAGTAAGTTAGTAAGTATTGCAATACAGAATGTTGAGCTATCGAGATTTTTCGAATAGCTTTAATTTATTAAACGATTGAATTTACTTAGTGATTAGTTTATTAGCGATTATTAGAGTTTACAGAGTTTATGTGATAGACGCGAGCAAGCGACTAGGCTGTCGTGCTGTCCGCTACTATGTTTGTAATAGTCAATCTAACACTGCATCTGCTCTAAACAAGAGTTAATTGCATACTAACTACAATGTACGCGAGCCGGCGGATTAAGCTGAGCCGGTGCGTGGGTGAAAGAGACAACGCAAAAGGGAGAGCGTGATCTCCGTTACAAATTCTCTTACATGATAACATATTCTATGAACTGCCGCTCTTAATTACAATGAAGCGATGATTGCTGAGCCCAACATCCTCCCCCCGTTGAAGACTTAGTCTTCAACAGAATCCTTAAGGGGCAGCAAGCACAGCTTATTTGTAGCTCTTCTTATCTCGCCAACTTCAGTTTTTAGTAGGGCTACCCGTGCAACGCCATCACTTCCAGGGATAAGTTCGATTATTCTGGCTAGTGGCCACTTAAGTGAAGGTAGATTCTCATCCTTCACAAGAACTATGTTGCCAACAGCCAAGCCAGGTTTGGAGGTTCTCCATTTCGCTCGCTGTTGTAACAAGTTGAGATATTCGTCCCGCCAACGAGTCCAGAACACCTGCTGGAGATAGCTTACGCGCTGCCAAGCATCCAAACGATTAAAATTGAGCCCTGTCAGGTTTGGCTCACTGAAGGACGAAGGAGGGCCACCGTTGAGGAAGTGCGCAGGAGTCAACACGTCTATGTCTGATGGGTGCTCTGAAATCGAAACTAAAGGGCGTGAATTAACGACAGCAGCGATGTTGCAAACCAGTGTGCGAAGCTCATCGTAAGTTAGGACGGAGGACCCAACACATCGGTAAAAATGATGCTTCGCTGTCTTCACTGCAGCCTCCCACAAGCCACCAAAGTGAGGTGATCGTGGAGGGATGAAATGCCATTCGATTGAGTCTGCCAAACAGAAATCCTTCACAGCCTTCTGGTGGGTGTCTGACAGAAATAGACGCTTCAACTCCTGAAGCTGATTGCGGGCACCAAGAAAGTTTGTGGCGTTATCCGACCAGATTTGACTTGGCCTTCCTCTGGTGCATATGAAACGTTGAAGTGCATGCAAAAATGCCGCGGTAGTTAAATCCTTGACTAACTCCAACCAAATAGCCTTCGTAGCAAAACAAATAAACACACAAACGTAGCATTTCACAGGCGCCTTGTTTCGTGCCTCAGGCTTGTAAAAGAAGGGTCCGCAAAAGTCGACTCCAGTCACTCAAAGACCCGATAGCCGTCGACTCGATCCTTGGGTAAATCTGCTATTATGTGTTCAACGAGTCGAGGCCTTGCACGAAAGCAAATTACGCATCTCTGAATTACACTGGCTACAGTTTTTCTACCTCCAATTGGCCAACCAACGCTAGCACTGCTCGGGGACCAGCGTGCAAGTTTCGCTGATGGAAATGCATTATGATGGCTCTAGTTACTGGATGAACTTTGGGCAAAATAATTGGATGGCGACTATCGAAATTTAAAGTTGAGTTTTTGAGACGACCATCGACACGTAGCAGCCCAATCTCATCAAGGAACGGTGACAGCGAGGCTAGACTGCTGGATGACGGAACCATTCCTTTATTTCGAAGAGCATTTATGTCGTCTGAGAGATGTGTTCGTTGAATCATTCCTAACAGTATATGAGTGCCGTTCCGGATGTCTGCTAGGGTTATTCCTGGACCATGACTTTTTTTAATAAACTTTGATACGTATGCAAACGTACGCTGCAAGCGGCCGAAAGAATTCACAAACTTGCAGTCCATAGAGACATCATGGACTGCGTCCTTTACAAGAAGCACAGTTCTTCGACGCTCAATTGAAGTTCTTTCTGGAAGTGCTGAGACTGGCCACTGAGATCTGGGCTTACAGAGGAAACCTGGACCGTTGAACCAATGTACTGATGCATTTAAATCCGAGGGCAATGCACCCCGAGATAATATATCCGCGGGATTCAGTGTTGTAGGTATATAGTGCCATTCCATTGCTGATGTGAGATCTTGTATCGTGGCGATGCGATTTGAAACAAAAACGTTAAATCGTCCGGGCTCGTCATTGATCCAAGAAAGCGCAACAGTAGAGTCAGACCAACAATGAAACTCGCCTGCGAAAATGCCTAAGCGAGCCACTTCATTCATTAGACGCGCAAGCAACTCTGCCCCCGCATAGTTCCAGCTTGGGAACCGTGAGCGTTTTTAGAGGCGCAACTCGAGACTTAGAGCAAAGCAACCTGCTGATGGTATGCTGACCTCTGGATACAATATAAATGCAAGCTCCGTATGCCTCGATGCTGGCATCGCAGAATCCATGGACCTCAACCTTCGATCCTGGTATTAATGATAGCCTGGGAAATGCACTACTAAGACCATTGCCAAAGTTGCTGCAAATGTCTAGCCATGCAGTGTGACATGCAGACGGGAGACTCTCATCCCAATCAAGTTTATGCCTCCAGAGTTGTTGCAAGAAGATTTTAGCTTTCGTTATTACTGGGCCGACCAGGCCGAGGGGATCATAAAACCTAGCAATAGACGAGAGAACAGAGCGCCTGGAGGGCTTAGAGGCTGAATTCAGGGCTAGATATGAGAAAAGAAGTTGATCAGATGCCGGATCCCATGCAAGGCCAAGTGTCTTTGTAATGTCGCTGCCATCATTGAACCTAATGAGCGATTCCTTGTCGCAGTCTGTTACGCCGTCCAGTACCATGGGATGGCTTGAACACCACTTCCTCAATTTAAACTTCCCACATGCCAAGATTCCAGCTGTCTCTTGCATAACAAGTCTTGCTTCTTCGACTGAATTTCCTCCACTAATCAAATCATCAACATAGAAATCGCGAAGCAGTACGTCGGACCCGACTGGGAATGCGTTCCTTTCATCTACGGCAAGCTGATGCATGGCGCGCACAGACAAAAATGACGCTGGTTTTGTTCCATATGTTACCGTATCAAGCCTGAAAACTTCCAACTCATCATCTGGCGAATTCCTCCATAAAATGCATTGTAGATAGCTGTCCGGCTCAGGTACTTTCACGCAACGATACATTTTGCAAATATCGCCGGTGAGTGCAACTGGATAAGATCGGAAGCGCAATAATATGTCGACTAATTTTGGCTGAATGACGGGACCTGACATTAGAATGTCATTCAACGAATGCCCAGTTGTTGTAGATGCAGATCCATCAAAGACGACGCGAAGCTTGGTAGTTGTGCTATCATCCTTCAGAACGCAGTGATGAGGAAGAAAATATCTGCATAGATGGAATGAATTTAGAGGAACGCGTGACATGTGACCAAGTTCAAGATACTCTTTCAGAAATGCTGAGTATTGAGACTTTATATGCGGCAAACGACTCAATTTCTTCTCCAAATTGAGAAACCGATGTCGCGCTTGCTCATAAGAATCTCCAAGAAGCTCGCAACTAAGCTTAACAGGCAGGCGTACTGTATATTGGCCACTAGCCAATCGATTGTAATGCCTCGCAAAATGCGCTTCGCAGTCTGAGTCTTCCTTGCTGAACCTTACAATGGAATCGCTGCAGCGCTCAACTTCCCAAAAGCGACGAACGAGACTGTCCAACTTGATATCAGCACAGGAGTCTGTAATCGGATCCAAAGGCGTCTTTGAAGCTATTAGCACGGAGTTGTGGTTGCGAGCCTCGCCACCTGATACAACCCAACCAAGACGAGTCTTCTGTAACAATGGAAGTCCAGGCATCAACTTGATTTGTCCCACACAGAGCAAATCATAAAACAGGCTAGCTCCGATAAGCAGATCTACTACGTTGCTCGTATTCACATTAGAACTGGGCTGCCTGCCAGTTATATTTGTAGCTACCATAGCCGTTATGCTAGTTGTATATTCAGATGCATGAGCTTGAAGAGTGAGGCAAATGCTGCTGCCATCCATGGCAACATTGGAGTCGCCTACGCCGCATACAGATGCCACCGATTTTGTTCTCTTAAGTTGCAGGAGATTCGCAAATCTGGCTGTAATGAGATGTAGTTGAGAGCCTGAATCTAAAAGTGCACGACAAGGAACAAGCTCGCCAAACCGATTCCTTGCCAGAACCACTGCGGTAGCCAGGAGCACAACATCGCTGTGCCGATCCTTGGATAAGAGAGTAGTGGCTGGTGCTGAGGGCTGAGGGATGGTCTGTACTCTTGATGTTGAAGATTGTTGATGGGGCGGAATTGCTGCCTGCGATGTGCTGGAGTGGCCGAGATGAAGAAGCGTATGATGCTTGACTCCACAGACCCGACAACTGCGCGAGCCACATTGTCGCGACTGATGACCTCCCTTGAGACAATTCAAACATAAGCCAGCCTTTCGGACCTCATTCAGGCGAAGACTAGGAGACAAGTTTGCGAATCTTGGGCATTTGTAGATTGTGTGCTCAAGATCATTACAAAAATTGCAACTGTGAGTACTGTGGCCGGTTACGAGAAATGCTGATCTACTGGTAGCAACCTTACTGCAAGAATTCATCGGCTTACTTGACGAATAGTTTGTAAGAGCAAATTTCATCGATTCCAAAGTACGGCAACGAAGCTCAAGAAATGAGGAGACTTCTTCATATCTGGGTATCTGAAGAGCCGTCTCTGAGTTGTCCAATTTCTCTTCCCATTTAGCTTGTGAGGCCTCATCAAGCTTCTGTAGCAATATCTGAGCAATCATGGCACTGGCTATCTGCTCTGTTGTGCCCAGACTACTGAGCGCACGCATATGGACATTGAAGCTGTCAGATAGTTCACGCAGCTTTCGGTTTTCATATCTCTGCTTCAATAAATTTATGGCAATTGTATAATTATCATTAGAAATTTCCAAAGAGCGAACCGTATCCAACGCTGCGCCATCGAGGCAGGACCGGAGGTGCTGAAGTCTTTCCATATTGCTGATTTCTGGCCGACTTTCAATGATTGTAGAAAACATTGAGTAGAAATCAGCCCAATTAGCATATCCACCGCTGAACGTAGGTAACTTTAATGGCGGCAACGCAGGTGCAGCCTGCAATCTGGGAGCGGATGCGCGAGGAGGGTCACTTGGACGACTAAACGTGGAACTATGATGCACTTGAGCAGTACGACTTTGCACTTCGGACATTATTGTTGACTGCATGACCATTATTAAATCATCAAAGTCAGTGCGCAAATTGCTGGACATCTCAGTAAATTCGAGCTCCTCTAGACTTTCATGGGCCTTGCTAAAGGAGTGGCTTAGCTTGTCGATATGCTCCAGTAGAACATTTAGAGTGCTGTCACTGTGATCGGCAAGAGCATCTGAATCGACCTTGGATTGTAGCTTTTTTACGCGTTCAAACACCGACTGTACCTTGAGCTTATAAAACCGCACGCGATCTTCGGGAGCAACTGCACTAGCATCTAAATTCGCCATGACGAGTACAGCAAGAGCAACACGATAGAGTTCAAAGTCGTTGGTGCGAGCGCGATTGCAAGAGTAAGTAAATGTATATATGCTATAGCGCAGACACAAACTTGGAATAAGTCGTATTTGTCGAGCAGAGTACTTGCAACTTTAATAAACTGGCAAAGAATTATATTATGGTACTCAAATAATATACACGTATGAATTGTTGCACACCGGTACGATTATTATGGACGCGCTCGTATCGCAGCCGTGGCGAAAAAGTGCAATGTCAACGAAGAATAACGGCAAGCATGTAATTACACTGTGCTTATGCAAACTTAATCACTTATAGATTGAAGCTATAGAACACGCAGTCACTAACCATAGACATAGTTCAGAAATTAGCTGATTCTTTATTAGATTGTCATTTGCAGAAGTTTTCGCATGTGTACTACTTTTACGGGCGCCAGTGTATTGCAGACCGAACGAAAGAGTGTCTGGCGAATTGGCAAAGTAACGGCACGCAACTAATCGCTATATACACTGCTTATGTTCACGGGTGTATGTATGTATGTGATGCTGTCAATATATATATGCAAATATGTAGAAAGAAACGAAAATATCACGTCGGGGTCACCAAATGTTGAGCTATCGAGATTTTTCGAATAGCTTTAATTTATTAAACGATTGAATTTACTTAGTGATTAGTTTATTAGCGATTATTAGAGTTTACAGAGTTTATGTGATAGACGCGAGCAAGCGACTAGGCTGTCGTGCTGTCCGCTACTATGTTTGTAATAGTCAATCTAACACTGCATCTGCTCTAAACAAGAGTTAATTGCATACTAACTACAATGTACGCGAGCCGGCGGATTAAGCTGAGCCGGTGCGTGGGTGAAAGAGACAACGCAAAAGGGAGAGCGTGATCTCCGTTACAAATTCTCTTACATGATAACATATTCTATGAACTGCCGCTCTTAATTACAATGAAGCGATGATTGCTGAGCCCAACACAGAAATTAATTAAATTATGCAAACATATGATGGAAAATTAGAAAAAGCGCTGCAGTGTGTGCAACATTATACAAATTTAATTGTTGAATGATTTAATTTCCAGACGTACAATCTTAATGAAACTTTCAGTGCGTAATCATATTGTGAAAATGTATGTACATTTTAAAGCACACGTCTCTAGTACTTGAAATACGCCTTTTACAAAGGTGATGGTGAGGAGTGGATATAGAGGTGGGGGTAAATTACAACAAAAATCGAAGTAAAATATATATAAGTCTACATTTGAAATTTGCAAGCTCTAGCTCTAAAGGTGTAGGAGATATAATTAAATAACTAGCTTTCGATAAGGCTTTTGATCGATAAAAAAATATCGGGAGTAGTTATCGATATAAAAAGAAAAACTTGATATGCGCGTGATATACACGGACCTAGGAAAAAAATTCAAGTCTCTAACGGACAGGGCCAAATCGACTCAGCTCGTCGCCCTGATCAAGAATATATATACTTTGTGGGGTCTGCCACGCCTCCTTCTGCCTGTTACATACTTTTAACAAAACCATTATACCCTGATTTCCCATTTTCAATAGGTTCAGGGTATAAAAATTGCAATAGAGAAAATAATTTATAAATTCTGCAATCATATGATAGAAAATCAGATAAAACAAAGCGTTTAGATATTTTGTTGCTTTGATAACAGAAAATTTTAAGTTATTCAGCATTCTATTAGTAAATATTGCAATAGAGATATTAATTGAATAATTATGCAACATATGATGTCAATCAGAAAAAGAAAAGCGTTTTACTATTTTGTTGCTTTGATAACAGAATATTGAATATTATGTTGTTTTGATAACAGAAAATGTTAATGCCAGATCCCATTAACATGAATTGCTCCACGCTCACCACATACTGTTATGTTATTAACAGTACTATGTTAATAACATAACCCAGTTCTCCTACTGGTTCGCGGTACCACTAACCAGAGAGCACATAGATGAGACAACTAGTGTAAAGCGTTTTGCACACTTACCCAGTGGCGACGACCTGAATGAGGTCTGTTGAAATAATGCATTACATACGACAAAAAAGTAATGCATTACCTATGAACATTTTTTTCAGCGCATTTGTAATGTACAAAATAAAAAGTTCTACTCATACGACAGAATCGAGCTCTTGTCAACTTCGTTTCTGTATGCCCCTTCCCCGCTGACCAATAAACGATTTTCGTCTTTCGTTGCGTCGCGACGAAATCGCCGAATTTCGTTTTGGACTTTACCGTTTTTTGCATGGAATGCGTGCCTTCTTTCGTTTGGTTTTTTTGTCTATGCCTATTCCTTTTGTGTGTATAGTGTTAATGAGTGTAAATACAAGTTCAAAAATGCATATGTGTGATGATTTCTGTTTTCGTTTTACCCGCCGCGGCGCGTCACTTTTCTGATATTGTTGAGCTGTGCGGACGTAAATTTAAAGGGAAGTATCTGGTATGTATAAATCATCTTACATGTATTTTTAATGACAAAAAAAATTAATATTGTTTAATTTACAGATGCTATAAAAACCGAAGGGTCCACTAAGAGGACCTATATAAGTACAATAAGAAACTGCTTTCGGGTCCAGAAAGGTCGACTGGAAAAGCAGAAGTTCGATAATAAGGACAAACTAGATAATAAGGCATAGCTTTAGATTTAGATTTAGATAGATAAGACTATACATTTATTTATAGATATTTAGAAATAATAAATAATAATTTTTAAAAATTAAAACAAAAAAATACTACATTACTCAAGCGTTTCTATCTTTCAATTAGTAATCAATTATTTCTCCAATTACATTGCATTAAGAAGTAAGCCATTTTATATAGTGGGAAAATGGGTTGCAGGTATATTGTGTTGTAATGTACGCACATTACTAACCCATAAGCGATTTTGAAAATGTATAGGGCGTTTTCTTCAGGTTGCGGAATTTCTACATTACAATATTTAAAAAGTATACGCATGGGTAATGGAGAGCCGAAGGAAACTTCGTCACCTCATTACTTTCTGCATTACAAAATTCAATAATTTCATGCACCCGGGAGAAAAAGCGGCCATTCCTTAAAAAAGTAAGGCAGCTTGTAATCGATCTTTTCATGCACACAGGCGACAAGTAATCCATGAGTAATGGACAAAATAATGGGCATTTCCGCCACTGGGTATTTTCGAGCGTAATCTCCCAGACACTTCGTATTTGCTCGGCTCTTCGCTTTTAGGGTTCAGGCTACGAAAATATGGGAGGTCAAAATCATTCGTCTTCATGCGCTCGACCGAGATGGTCGACTATTGAACAAAAGAACCGTCTATGCTCAATTTTTTTTCTTGCTCTCTCTCTCTCTCTGCTTTTTACTCTCTCAAATGTATATATGTATGTGTGCATGTGAGCACAAGCAGCAGCCCACAAAAATTGAAATTTCTTCGCTGCGAGAACCCATGCCTTCCCTTCTGTGTGAAGAGTATACCGAACTTTTCAAACCGTTTGTCATGCGTTTTCCTTATTATTTGTGGGAAGGGTATGAAAGCGTTGGTGCGCATCATGAAAATGTTTTCACGACGAGCATGCACACACACACTTACAGTATGCTGCATGTACTATGAACATTTGTATGCCTGTGTGCGAAGCTCTTTCTGCCTGTAGCAATTTTCAATCCCAGCATTTGCATTTGGTCGATCTTGTGAAGTGCTCACATACATATGTATGTATGTATGTATGTATGTATATATATTTGATTGTGTGTACATGGGAGGCGCTGCTCACAATTTTGGGATATAACTTGTAGAAGCACTTGTATGCCTGTGTGCCTTTACATGTGCGTGTGTGTATGTGTTTGTATGTATGCATGGGAGATGAACATTGGCGTGTGCCTCACTCAACTTAGAATGGTGTGAACGATTTTGGGCTTTGATTAAAGAGGCGCGCTTTTGTTTAAGTACCTGTTTTGATTCAATGATCGTGGGTTTACCTATCAGAATGAATGTTTTTTAAAAATGTGGTACCTAAATGTTTTAAAAAAATGTGGTACCTGATTAATCCCAGTGGGCAAAATGGGATGTGTTTTTTTAACCCTTGCACTTGTGCATACATATGTAGGCCAATTTGACACCTTTTTAAAAAGATGAATACGTAAATAGGTCAAATTGATAATTTTTACAAAAATTTGGATTAATCAGGTACCACATTTTTTAAAAACATTTAGGTACCACATTTTTAAAAAACATTCATTCTGATAGGTAAACCCACGATCATTGAATCAAAACAGGTACTTAAACAAAAGCGCGCCTCTTTAATCAAAGCCCAAAATCGTTCACACCATTCTAAGTTGAGTGAGGCACACGCCAATGTTCATCTCCCATGCATACATACAAACACATACACACACGCACATGTAAAGGCACACAGGCATACAAGTGCTTCTACAAGTTATATCCCAAAATTGTGAGCAGCGCCTCCCATGCGTACACACAATCAAATGTATATACATACATACATACATACATATGTATGTGAGCACTTCACAAGATCGACCAAATGCAAATGCTGGGATTGAAAATTGCTACAGGCAGAAAGAGCTTCGCACACAGGCATACAAATGTTCATAGTACATGCAGCATACTGTAAGTGTGTGTGTGCATGCTCGTCGTGAAAACATTTTCATGATGCGCACCAACGCTTTCATACCCTTCCCACAAATAATAACGCAAACGCATGGCAAACGGCTTGAAGAGTTCGGAATACACTTCACTCAGAAGGGAAGACATGGGTTCTTGCTGGAAGAAATTCAATTTTGGAGCGCTACTTGTGCTCACATGCAGTACATAGTACATGTAGCAAAGGACAGTGTGTGTGCATGCTCGTCGGAAAACATTTTCATGATGCGCACCAACGCTTCATACCCTTCCCACAAATAATAAGGAAAACGCATGACAAACGGTTTGAAAAGTTCGGTATACTCTTCACACAGAAGGGAAGGCATGGGTTCTCGCAGCGAAGAAATTTCAATTTTTGTGGGCTGCTGCTTGTGCTCACATGCACACATACATATATACATTTGAGAGAGTAAAAAGCAGAGAGAGAGAGAGAGCAAGAAAAAAAATTGAGCATAGACGGTTCTTTTGTTCAATAGTCGACCATCTCGGTCGAGCGCATGAAGACGAATGATTTTGACCTCCCATATTTTCGTAGCCTGAACCCTAAAAGCGAAGAGCCGAGCAAATACGAAGTGTCTGGGAGATTACGCTCGAAAATAAGTGTGCAAAACGCTTTACACTAGTTGTCTCATCTATGTGCTCTCTGGTTAGTGGCGGTACTTAGCGCCCCGCGGAGTACTTCGTCTCCCCACAACTGGTCTCTTGCCTCACCTGGTATTGACACTTGTGTTTTGCATATGTCTTTACTAATGCTACGAGCAACACAGCTTTAATCTAAGAAATAAAGACGAGGAAATTACAAGCCGGTCTTTGTACTTATCGGCGACGCCACACACTCCAACATTTGGTCCTTCGAGCCGGATATCATCCACCTCCACATACACATCAGCATTCCGTCGGCCGTCGAGATAAGTACCCCATATTTGCGTATAGTAGTACATACATACATATATATACATATGTGAGAATACACGTCAGCCCCCAGCACAACAGACACCGTACTGGGTCGAGCCCAATTGCCGTCGGCGAGCGTAATCCCAGCCGGATTGGCTGCGTGCTCGATCGGCCGGATTGGCGTCCGGCAATTGAGCTGCGGGTCTAATTGCAGGATAGCATTAATATGGAAATCGGATGTTTTCGAACAGATGGTCGCCGTGCAAACCTCTCCCGGACCCACGCTAGTGGCGGAAAGACCCATGGCCCTTGCCAATGAAGCATGGATCCGAGTAGTAGGGCTACACGGATCGATCAACGCCCTCACATCGAAATCCTTCTGGTCCGTTTGCACAATGACAATTGCCGTGGGCAGGATGCTAACGGCCTTGTGCTGCATCAGCGTGCTCAGCGGCGGCGTAACTTCCCTCGTGGTGGTGGATGCTGCCTGGTGGCGTCGTCCTTTGCGGGATCCTTTTTGTGGTGCAGGTGTCCCGGCGAGGGCGGAGGAGGTGGGCCCGCTGATAGGGGCTGCAGCGGGACGACATCGCTGTCGGCGACGAGCTCCAGGCAGATGCAGCAGCGTGTGATGGCTCTGGCCACACGTCTTGCATTTGGCCTTGCTCCGGCAGGATTGCCCGGAGTGCTGATGCGCCAGACAATTCGCGCAGTACTTATTAATTCGCACGGCGCGAAGACGTTTTTCGGCCGGAAGACCCAGAAAACGCCTGCACTTCCGCAGAGCGTGGACCCCTCTACACACGCGGCATCGGAAAGAGTTGATGCCAGGTGTCTCCACGGATTGAACAGCTGATGGCATAGCTGAAAAGGAGAGATGTGCGGGGTGGTAACTGGTGGAATTAGATGTACATACATGGTTAGTTGGACATCACAGCGGTGTTATCGTCCGTTGGTAGGATGACCAACTTATGGACGGGTCTACGGACAATGCCCCGGGAGGTGAGAATGTCCGCCACTCGGACCTTTCCATCATCTCCTGGGTGCGTGAGGTGGACACGGCCGATGACCATGTCGCCGACCTTCAAGTCACGTTGTGCGAATTGCCATTTGAGGATTTGCATCGTGAGGTCGGACTGAAGGACCGGGCCTGGGTGAAGAATATCATTCAGGCTCTTCCCATTGGAAGATGGGCACGATGCATTGAACACCACCCTCACTTTGGTGGTGGTGCACTGGCCTCATATGACCCAAGTCGAGATACTCTTGCAGGATAGCTTCGTATTCGGCTTTGAGTGTCGGATTCTTGGACAACCTGCTCTCATTTTTGAGAAACTGCCCCAGAGCGATGGATCGCGAATGACCTAAGTCAGGGTGATCCGGATTTTTGAACGGGCGAGTCACGACATAGGAGCCAGACTTGTCTCTCCGTGTGGTTCGGACAAAATTATCCTCACACGCAGAGTCCGGCTCACTGGCTACCTTGGGGAGATTCTCCACCTCCCAACATTTGGTAATGAGGTGGTCGAGTTTTTCATCGTGGAGAACGGTAACCCTAGTTGTTAAAGCGGAGATCGACTCTTGAGGCTTCTTAGTGACTGGACCCGTAAGAATCCAGCCAAAGATTGTCTCTTGGCCCATTAGTGATCCGCAGAGGTTGGGGTGGAAGCCCCCCTGAACGATCGATGGAAGGATATCCGCGCCTAAAAGAACGTCAATTTGAGCGCTCTTGAAGAAGAGTGGATCAGCTAATGGGATGTCGGGCAGATTGTTTAAGAGCTGTTGCGGAATGGGGTACGATGGCAGATTGCCGGAGAGTCGTGGGATGACCAAGGCTGAGGCCTCAATTCGAAGTCGAGGTTTCAGTGGAGTGCCGATGTGGAAGTCACAAAGCTTCGTTGATTTTGCTGCCACAGAGTGGCCTAGACCGGACACCTGCGTTTGCACGGATCGGAAAGGTAGCTTCATCAGACGGAATAATCGTTCGGAAATGAACGTCGCTTCGGACCCCGAGTCAATTAAAGCCCTGGCTGGATATGTGACCCCCAAGTGACATACATCAATTACAGCCGTACCCAGCAGGACCCCTGGAGTATCGGCCGTGAAATACGACTGCACATTACGAGGTACTTCGGACGTACCTGGAGTCACAGCGGCTCCGGACGAGGAGCTGGTTGCTGTGGAGCCTTCACGGTGAAGCAGTGTATTGTGCCTCCCCTTGCACTTGGCGCAATTGTGTATGCTAGTGCAGTCGCGCAGTTGGTGACCTTGAGCAAAGCAGTTCAGGCAAAGTTGCCTTCGCTTTATGTATGTCTCGCGCGCTGCCAAAGACATTTGGATGAAGCGAGGACACAGACGAACCGGATGGTTCTCTTTAGCACACAAGTCGCACTTTTTGGATTTGGAGTGGACTTGTGACTCGAAGGCATGGACTTTTTTGTGAGAGTTGCTGACCGTGGATTTCGGGTCTGAACCTGGGACTTTCGGGAGAGACCTATCACCTTCCATAGCCTCAAGCGCGCGAGCATGCTCGCTAATGAAGAGACTTACGTCTTTCCAGGCTGGGATGTCTGATTTTCGTGTTAAAGAATGCTCCCA